TTTTTTTTTCTGTAGTCAGGTAGTTATGAAAGATTATTTCAGGAGGACAGGGGGAAAATCCCCATAGAAGAATAACCCATCAGTTTAAAAAGTCTTCAAAGTTTTGAATAGTATGTCTATATCTGATTTTAGTTCTGGAAATAGGAAGTAAGAATCGCCTCATTAAAGGTGCAGAATGATTCTAAACCCAAGCTAAAAATGAAGGTCAAGATCAGAAATATAGTTTGTATGTTTTGTTTTTAAACCAAAAAGGTGCTGACACATAGCACAAATTCATAATGAAAGATGGTCTTGCTAAAAAAAAATTCCCCAGTATGTCAGCACAATAGTACATAGTGTAACATCTTCTGCTATTTAAATGAAAACATTTAAAGAAGGGCAACATAAATCAGTCAGATAAAAACTACATGTAAAAAGGCTGTTTTCTTATTTCAGGGGCTCATGGGACACAAAACTAACTGAATAATGATAATGATAATGTAAACATCTCAGCAGTCCTCAGCCCTAGAACTGGTTTGCAGCTATTATACCCTCAATGATTTAATTCCACCATCCTCTGTCACCACCCAAAGGGAGCTGTCCTTTCCTAAAGTTCAAAAACAAAGGATAGAGAGACAGAAAAATAGGTACAAACTCCAGGGTAAAGCTTAAGAGAGCATGACATCCAAATATATTTCCTGGTTGCTTTTATGATTAAAAACCAAAGATGTACTAGTCAAGTGTTGTAGTTGAATGAAATATGGATAAAGAAGAGAAGAAAAACCTGACTTTCTGGGTTAATTTTGAAGGCGGCCCTCTTTAGTAACACACACAGTCTGATTTTTGGTTGCTTAACATATTAAAATAAGGAGTTATATGTCCGGGTGGGGGGGGAATAGCTTAAAAAAGGATCGGTCTGAAATATGTTAAGATGATAAATAAAACCACAGTGACACCAAGAGGGGCCAGTGTAGCATAATCTAGAAGCACTTGGAGAAGTCAGGAAGAACTTTGCTCCAAGTCTGGCTCTGGTTTAACTATACGCCTTTGGGTAAGTGACTATCGTTCTGAACTTTGAACTAACTGATCTAAGAGCATTACTTGACTTAGCTATGATTTTAAGTGGAATGACGGAAATTGAAAAACTTAAGCTAAGAGCTGAACTGAGGACAAGAACACTGTATTATTAAATGGCAAAGATGACCTTTATTTGAGTCCCCATAGGCTGGACAGGACAACATGACCCAAATGAACCTTGGGAACAGATCAATAAATACATGGTCAAATCTGACATGGGTCAGAAATAGGCTATACCTTTTAAGGCCACAGCCAAACTTTAAAAGCCTGAACAAATCCTATACTGATTCCAAGGGCCACATTTTCAGAGACTGTCTATTGAGAAGAGCATTACTTTCAGAAAGAGTTATAATGAAGGCCAACCTCTGAGGTTAGATTTTTTTTGGTATTGTTCAGGCACAACTACAATTTAAATTTTGCTTTTTATAAAATCTGCCTCTATTCTCCCAGCTGTGGCAGGGGAAAAAAAAAGATTGAGGAGAGTTGCTCTATTTAATTCTAGACAGCTGTGTCTCCCCCTTACCAAAAACATTGGACTCAGACACACAAACAGGAAAGAGACAAAGTGTTTCCCAAACAGGCTCCCAGATTCCTTCAAATACTATACTCCTTAGGGAGAGGGGAAAGTGATTTGACATGGCTGTAATGAACAGTCCCAGTAGCAAATACTGGATTCCTACAGCAAAGGATCGCCTTTTCACTACTTTCCACAGGCAGTAATAGAACTGACAGCGCTCTGTGGGAATGATGGTAGTGGGAATTCCGCCCAGGGGTCAGTTCATTCAACTCAACCCAGCAGTAGACTAGTGAGAGCAATTGTAGTAGCCAAATTCTCAAAAAAAAAAAAGGTGGCTCTGCAAGTTATTTCACAGCTAAACATCACGCCTCGCTATAATCTTTATGTAAAAAGGTAAACACGAATCAGTTGCTCATTCCAAGTTTGGGTTTTCAGCCCCTTTGAAACAACAAAGAGCGTACCCACTTCAGAGGCCCATAAGGAACTGGCCTGCCAGCCCAGCCAGAGCCCAGGAGCTGCCACAGATAAACAGTGGTTAGCTCTGAAGTCATCCGGGCAGAGGACACTTTACCGTGACCCTCTTCTCGGTTTATACCCCGACACTTCACTTCATAAACATGTCGAAGTTTGGAGAATAATTTTAGAAACCCAGCTAATAAAGCTGGCTTGTTAAAAAGAATAAAGCCGTCTAATTACTGAAGGGAGACAAAAGCAACATTGACATTTTTTTTTCCTAAGAAAAAGTTTTCTCCCTTAAAAGATATTGTACAACAGCAAGAGGAGGGCCAGCCTCAAGGCTCCCTGACAATTTTATCCACCCCATGGTGCCGGCTTTTCCAAGACACGTCAATTTGCCAAAAGATTTAACTGTTTACTAATTAGTATGGAACAGTTGAAGCAGGAGGAAATGGGAAGCAACTGACTGAGGGAGAGGGAAAGGGAAAGCCGAGAATGGACGATCAACTATTTACTGATACTTACAGATTCGCAGAGATTCTCCAGAGATCCCGGAGGCCCCAAGGGCAAGTAGAGAGATTTGGCACCAGGTGCCAAGTGCCAGTCTTCATCAGCAAGAAACCAGAGGCTTACCTCTTTGTTGTTCGTGGCATATTTGAAAAGCAGATTCCTCGGCAAGGATGCTTCTGCCTGAACCGGAGTCCCTCCATCAGAGCCAGAATCCCAGGGGTGGTCGTTCACAATGTAGGTACACTTCTCTTCATACTCAGCCTCTGTCCACAGAGTCATATCCGCATCCTCCATGTCCATTTTCATGGTCCCCTCTGTCCCCTCTGCCAACCCTTGAAACCTCACAGCACTGGAGCTACACTGGGGGGCAGCCTGGAAGAGAAGAGAAAGGCCTTTAATCCCCATTGTCCTGCCGTGTTCCTGCGGCTCCCTCCGAGAGGCTATGACTAACACAGGAGTCGGAAGGCTTTAAAAGCAGATGCAGAGTGCTTGGTACAGTTGAGTAAGAGCCAAACAGCCGTATAAAGTAAATTGCCTGGAAGAAGCAAAGTTTTTAAATGCTACTCTTAGTAAAAGAAAAAAAGAAAAAGAAAAAGAACGTGGCAACCTCCTGGGGTGGGGGGAGCACTTCTGAACAGTCCCTGGCTTTACCTCTCACAGCAGAAAAATGTTGTGGGCAAACAGTCCTGTGTCCCAGAATGCCTGGGGTCATGGCCGTCAGACCCTCGGCACTGTGGAAAAGCTGCCTCAGAAAAGTGTCACAAACAAGGAGAGGAAGAGGAAGGAGCTCTGTCTGCCTCTGAATGAAGCTAAAAATGGAAAGCGCGTGTGCTGCAGGAGCGGAACCCAGCCTGCCTTTTCCAAATGGGGAAGACTGAACTTTCCCACCAGCTCCCAACGCAAAACAACTTTCAAAACAACTGCCTGCCCTCTGCTGCAGGCTCTTTCATCCTCCTGAAGACTGGAGAGCTGCATCCTGCCAGCATCTGAGCTACAGCCCTTCAGAAATCACTTGGACCACAGGAAAGGAGGAAAAAATGGGTGAAGGGAGAAAAGACCCTGCAGTTTCTTTTGACTTACGGGCACCTCACACCACACAGAAAAAGCAAAAATAAAACACTGTTCGGTAGAATTCCCTGGAGAGAAATCCTTTAGGAGCCCTCAGCTACAAATAGTACTTTCCATTTAAATCTGAAAGTGTATGAATTCCCAGAAGTCACTGATGTATTACAATTTACTGTAACTAAAGTTGTAACAGATATATAAGCCTCAGAGAATAAGCTCTGCTTCCACGTGTAAACTGATAAGGCTATTCCAGAAAATTCTCCCTCTCATTCAGAAAAAGTGTTTTCCAAAGGCAAAAGGGAAACAGCTTTTGCAGTGTTTCTCCAAATAGACACGTTTGATAAAAATTAGGTGTACGGTCTCAATACCACGTAGAAATGTGTTCTTGTTAAAATGTAAACATAACACTCCCTGGAGGTCCTTCCAGGGAGCTTTCACATTTCCCACTTCTCTAAAATGTGATGCTTTTTTGTAAAAAAGGTCGGATGCAAGGTTGTCTTTCTCTCAGTTATGATGTAAACACAGTTGCTTATTTTTATTAAGTCCCAACATGTAGAGTCATGATACATGTTAAAATAAAATACAATTGAAAACTGAAGCCAACCCGGAGTGGTTAACTTTGACGGGTGTGAGCAGTAACCACTACCGAAATTTCAGTGAACTGACAATTACATCTAGAACTGAAAGAGTTAATGATTCATAAGGAAAAAGTCTTATAAATGTTTGACAGTGCTAAGTGCACTAAAGCAGAAGCATTTCTTGTTTCTATTGCGACTATTTCTTGTTAGAAAAAGAAAAAAGAAGAGAAGAGAAGAAAAAGTTTTCAGATCCATTTCAGAATAAAATCAAGTTCCTTACCAAGGTCGTATCCACACGTTTTTCCAAGCAAAAATCCAACATCTGAAATAAGTCTTGCTCATCTCTACCCAGTCCCCATTCCCCCCGCGTCCCCTGGCCGGGCTGAGCAGCACTGGCTGACGCGCACCTCCGCGTCCCTCCTTCTCTGCGGACTGTCGCCGGGCGCCGGCGTCCCGGTCTCGCGCACAGGTGCCGCGCGCTGCTCTTGCCTCTCCGCAACACTGGAGGGCCGAGTGTCACGGCTGCACTTACCAGACCGCGGCTCTTTCCCCTCCCTGCCGATTTCATTAGCCACTCAACCGCCCGAAGTGGGGCGTGGCCACACCTGCGAGCGGAGCCCAGGGCTTTCCCCTCGATCGCGAGCCGCCGAGAGCTTCCTCTCTTCCCCTGTGAATTTCAACATTTACTTGGAATCTTCTCACTTCCCTTTGAAGCCGCTTAACCCCACGTTTACTGGGGCTGTATTGTATTCTAAATACACCAGATCGCCCTCCTTCCTGACGCCGCAGAAGCAGGGGGCGGGCATTCCTTAAATAAAGGAAAACTTGAAAAAACGTTGTAGTTTCTCAGCTCAGATCCCTAAATTACAGCATCCACACGACTTACGTGAAAGGAGTAAGTTCAATTGTTTTTGCATCTAATGGAATACCATGGAGCTGTCTGGTCCTCAAGCTGTCGCCTATGAAATACACGTCTCTCCCGCCCCTCGAAATGCATATGATTCTATTTCTCCTGCTAACTGAAACATATTCAAATTTGGCAGAACTAACTTTCCTCTTTTCAGCTACGCACTTAGTAAACAGGGAAATAGGAAAAAGTTATAATCCTACAGATTAATTTTTGTTTTTCTTCCTTTCCTACCAAAAGCCACAGGCAAACTTCCCGGGAGTGTAAGTTAAATGGAGAGCATTAATGGCTTCGCAGTTAAGGGGGGATATTGGACTGGTCACTGAGAGTGGAAAGCAGTCGGAGGCGGTAATTAGTGGGCTTGTTGTGAGCCCTGGCCGGCTTTTCCTCCAGCCCCAGTCAGTCCTCTGTTGAAGGAAGGACATCCTGTGATGATGGCATACAATGTCCTGTTTGTTTATTATTAAGAGCGTGGACCTTGCATTCCTGCTTCTCATTACAAAACAAACCAGATGCTTTACTTCCTTCAATGGTCTTGTGCCTTCAGCAAGGAGTCCTTTAATTCAGAGAAACAATGATGCAAAGGGTCCGTTTGTAACAAACACCCCATTTCTATTACTCTTTAGATCCCTGAAATACAAGTTTTCCACTTTTCCTGCTTGCCTCATACATAGGTAGTTTTTTTTTTTTAAATAATCATCTCTTCTTCTCCCTTATGCTTCACTGTCTTTTCTAACATTTTAAATACACGTGTGCACACACATTCCTCCCCCCCACGCACACACACACCCACATACACACACCCAGTCTCAACCTAATGATACCAACTTAGTCATACAATGAAGTGGACATTTGAGTATTTGTTTACAGGAAGAAATGAAACAAAGCAAAACAAAAGCCCAACTCAATCCTAAAAATATGTCTGTTTATATTTAAAATTTCTTTTCCTTCTTTTAGAAAGTTTCTAGAATTTTTTTATGGGAGGACATAGCTTTTATATATAAAATCCTTCTACACTCTCTGTAGCACAGAACGATTACATTCCCACTAGGGGACATAAGTGGCCCACGCTCCCTGATCATTGCTGGGTCCACCTGTTGTTGCTATGTTATGCCAGAGGGGACGCTAGCGCCTAGAGGAAACAAGACTTTTTTAGGATGCAGCTATGCTGGGGTATAAAACTGAATGAACAATTCCTAAGAGTTCTCAGAAAGCTCCAAGATGATAATTAAACAAGAGAAATCCAGCCTTCTTGAGAGGGTTTATTAACTGATGCTGAGTCAGCGCCACAATGGACAGAAAAACAATGTAGTCATACCAAGGCCGGCCTGCTGTTCAAACAGTCTCACTTGCAGATGTTAAAGAGTATTTCACTTCCCTTTTAGAATCAGACTCTGCTATGGGGCCACAGAGACCATCATGCAGGCACTGGTGAGTCAGCCATGATGGAGTAAGGGAATTGGAGAAGAGTTTGATATTTGAGGTAGGAAGAGGGCTATTTTAAGCCAAATATTTGCTTAAATGACTGGAAGATGCCAGTGAATCAACTCACTGTTAATTAATATCAGCCTGCACTCACCTTCAGAGGTGGTGAAATGGGCTTGAGTCTAAGGAGGATGCAAACTTCAAATACCAGTGTGGGGCTCAGCCAGGCAACCCTAAAATTAGTTCCAGGTGTGCAGCTGAGCTGGACCAGGCCACGGGTGGAACTTCAGGAAAGTAAATGGTGAGACGCAGACTGTTGGAATATGAAGTCCTTCAAATGTTTGTTCTTGTCTCAAAGTAAGAAGAGAAAGACCTCCAAACCAACTCTTGATTATGAGGATAGTGGTCAAGGGTGGGCAATAATATAGTTCAGAAAGAAAGATGCAAAAAAGGAAGGAATAAAAGAAAGGAAGTATGTTCCCTATTAGGAAAAGATCTGTTCATAGCGTACTATTAGGTATTGTCTGATACAAACAGTCAAGGAGGAAGAAAAGGGACTGATTTCTGAACTTCACTCTGTCCCCGCAGAAGGCCCGAGCAGTGCCCATTTTTAATGCTGACTAAAGCTGGCACTGGCTGTAGCACAGCTGTGCAAAGAGCTATCTGAGGCTGCCACTGTCTGGAATCACTGTCTCAGAAAAATGTTTCTTTCTAAGTAATAACTTGGTGGATTTTTAGTCACTCTTTTATAATTTCCCTCCCTGTTAGAATGTCAAAAAGAACCTCGGTTATCTTTATTAATCAGCATTTCTCAGGCAGAATTCTCACATTCAGAGTGTTCGCGATGGCAGCAGAGCATGACTGATCCAAGCAGCTCTGTTCTCAGAAACTCTCTTCGGCTCCCTTTGATGGCAACCTCCCAGCAGCTCAACAAGCCGATGTTAATTTGGTTGCAGCTACTGGGCCAGTTTTTTCTCTCCCAGTCCTTGGATGGTTAGAGAACTGGACGATTCGATAAGGGAAAGGACTGCAATACAACAGAGGGAAATGAAATACCAAATCTGGAGACCTGAATTCCACTTAAGGAAAATAAAATTTTTTTCCCTAAGGAAAATAAAAAATGGGATGAAATGTACGCAAGAAGAAGCATGTTTTCATTTCCAAGTCAACCCCTGCTATACCCAAACAAGGTCAATGACAGGCTAACCACATCAAGAGAATGCCCCCCCACCCTCTTCTCCCCACTCTCTACCCACCCACCCACCCTCATGCCCCACACCCATTTCCCACTTCCTGTAAGTTAGGCATCTTTATGCTGGTAAACATTTGGGGACCAACTGTAAGCCTGAGCCTAAAAGAGGGGGCACTAAGGCTTTGAAGCCCTCCCACATGTCTCAGAGCCAGGCGGAGAACTAGAGGGACACTTGCTTTTTAAACTTTAATAGCCTTTTCAACTCAAATCACTGGGCTTGGCTTTCTGGCTGCCTTCATTTTATAAAGCCGGACAAGAAGAGCAAGTACGTGTGTATGAGTGAGAGAGAGTCTATGTATGACACATGCTATGTTACAATGCAGCGTGTGTGTGTCACCGGCAGGAGATGTGTAGGGTATGTTTCAATGATGTGTTCAATCAATTTAAAAATAGTCCAAGCTTCCTTCTCATGACATAGCTCACCTCCCCAAAACTTTCGACAAACCTATTGAGGCCTAAACTTTGGGATCGTGATCTTTGGGGTTGTTGGATGTTTTGAAATGAGGTCAGTGTTTTGACTTTCTACATAAGGGAAATAAAAATGAAGGAAACTGAAGAACCAAGGCAGAGCTTCTTTCCATCCCTAAGAATGCAGATATGATAAATGCCACCCAGAGGACTTTATAAAACCCACACGACGTCTGAGGCCACAGAGTATCTAGAGAATCAATCTGCCTGTGTATCGTTTATAGCCCTCCCTTCAGAGAGATAGTTGTGCCATTATCTAATCACTGAGATATTTTTAAATTATTCATTTAGTCCAATATCTACCAATTTAATAAATAACAATAGCAATAGTAATCATTTCCGTATGATTTGTGGGTAACCAAGGTGGGTCTCCAATATTTGATTTCCTCCCAATTACATTTTTATTATAGTGAATCCTCAGACATGAGAGGCAGTAACATTTCTGGGAAGTCTGAGGGTAAGGACAGGGGACCGGAGACCATTTTGGAGCCCAGAAGACATTGCCTAATCTTCTATTTGGTGGGAAAAAGGACTAAACCTAAACTGACTAACAGAGGGCAAAGCACTGGTTATTTGCAAGGGTGAAAGAGAGCAACAGGAAAGGCGTTCGTTCATTCTGAAACTCTTTCTCTTTTCTCTTTTCTTCGTGGGGGGAGAGGAAGAGTGGCTTCCACAAACGCGGGAAAGCAAGGTCCTGGGCCTGGTGTTTGCTCCTCTCCCCTTGCAGTGGTAGGAAAGACCGTACTGGAAGAGGGGAGGACTCAAAGCACAAACAGAAAAGAAAGGAAGGTCAGAGATAGGGTGGTTTCCTAGAGGAAGATTAAAGTGGGGCAGTTGGCTTTAAAGTAAAGGAGAAAGGAGGCTGGGAAGGAGCAGCAGAAACCCCAGTGCTGGGGCCAGTGTACAGGGAGCAGTCCCCACAGAGAAGGAAAAAAGGCCCCCAGCTGTGCCTGCCACAGCACTTCCCTGGAACCATGGACTATGAGCCAAAGGATGGAGATGCTTTGTTAAAATGAGACTGATGGCCGAGAGTGGTGGCTCACGCTTGTAATTCTAGCACTCCGGGAGGCTGAGGCAGGAGGAGCACTTGAACCCAAGAGTTTGAGGTTGCTGTGAGCTAGGCTGATGCCATGGCACTCTACCCAATGAAACTCTGTTTCAAAAACTGAAAAAGTGATGGCTGATTTCTAAGGGAAGATTCAAGACTATAAAAGCTTGATTTTTATGTGCCAGGGTGAATTAGGAGAGAGGAGACAGAATGATAAGGATTAATAATGAAATCATTTAACTCCCTCTCCCATTCTGCTTCAAAGAGGAGTTGGTGGCTGACCTGAGTTGAGGACCGCAGCGCCTCAGTTTCGTGCTGAGGAAACTCAGGACTAGAATCCAGGAAGCAGAAAGGGCATTTCTCTCAGCCTTCCTTTTGGTAATTGGGTCTCACA